CCAGAGGGGCGGGTGGAAGCGCTGCGGATAAGGAGCTTAGGAGCTTGTCCTGATTTCTGTTGGTACCAGGCTATGTAGCTGCTGATGCTTGTGCTGGCTTTGCAGTTGATGGTGACTCTGTCTCCTGGAGACACCAACAGGGATTCTGGAGTCTGGGTCATCACAATCTGCCCACTGGCATCTGCATGTGAGATTAAAGCATAAATCCATGTTTCTGTGTTAGTACATAATAGTGTAAGGGTTTAAATTGTCATAGCATGAGTATCAACCAGGATTTTTTTTAATATGAAACCATTTCAATTCTGCTGCTTATATAGACAGAGCATATGGAAGCATATAAATAAGAATTGACATCTATTTGACATATCATTCCTCATTTTTGTTCTGATGATATTCTATAGCTTATTGTCCATCTCTTTATACATTTTTCTACAATTCTAATCAAATGCACTTACCCTTCATAAAGAAAACTAGCACCCAGATGAGCAGAGCGTGTGATCTCATCTTGAGAGCTCCGGACTGACAGTTGCTGCTCAATGCACCATGATCTGTGACATGGAGCCATTATAACTCCTCTGAGCTACAGGGAAATGCCACTCATGCATGGATATGCAAAATAACCATAGCTATGCAAACTTCCCCTCCGTGTGGCCCACTAGCTGGATTTGGGTGCTTGAAAGCACTGATGTGTGTGGTATTACATTTACCATGAGGGCAGATTCTGATTTACTTGCCATGGATAGGGTCCTACTCCTCAAACAGTCCTATTGAAATCATTGGGACTGTTCAAAAAGTAGCTCACTACTCAACATGAGCCAGGTTGTCAGAATCTGGCCCTAATTTAGGACTGTTTTTAGGCTCCGTAGTGGGGATGTGGAGACATTTCTCACTGGATATAAAAGGAAACACGCTTGAAAAGATTCTTTAAGGAAAGTGACATATACAGTTAACAAGTCACTTTCAATAAATGAGTCTCATTTTCTCCTCCCGGAGTCATCTGCATGGAGCCCTGTGTACTCCATGATAAGGTTGACCTGAATTCTGAGGCAAAACCTTGGATTCTGTGGCCGGTGGAAATTCCATGGCAGGTGAAATTAAAAAGGGATTTTTAATGTATTAAAAATAAAAATGAATAATGCAGGCAGGACAGTAGCCCCTAATTAGTTCCCTGGGGACAGGGACGTGGCTTTAAAGTTCTATATAAATAACAGAATAATGGGCCAAATCATGATTCCGTTTTGGAGAATGGGAGTTTGCCTGAATAAAGACTGAGTAAAAACCAGAATAATGAATAATGTAAACTGTGAGTCAAATCTAAAAGCAGCAAATTGGGTTGGCTGTAATTTCTGGAGTCATCTCATCGGTTGCATGTGAAAATATGTATAGGTCCTGGGTGTTCATGGAAATGTTCACAAATCCTGAAAGTTTCATAGACTTTTAGCATGAAAATTGGCTCATGTCAGTGCCTTATTCCTCAGGGGCTGATCATCACTTGTCATTCACTAATCTCCTGTTTGAAGGATACAGCTGTCTGTACAGCAAGCAGAGAAAATATCCCATGATTCACATGACCACTCACCATGAAAAATGTAGTGCAGGGGAACAGTTTGTGTATGACCCATACACTAAAACTTGTCTGCAGAAATCATTTGGAAGGCTCAAGAGCAATGAATAATGCGCAAAAGCCAGCACAGGAACAAATAAACAGGCTCTGGGTGAAATTCCCCCTGAGTTGGGGTCCAGCCCAAGGCCTATGAACCATTAAAGCTTCACATAAGCCCTGAAAATGCTGGTTATGCTGCCTTGTGCCTGGGAGAATTTTACCCCAAATTTGCAATCAATAATGTGACTAGCTCTCATAAATGGTGGGGAAGGAAGGATCTGAGGAGTTGGCCCAGCAGTAGGACGTGTCTGAGAAATTCTTACAAGCAGCTCAGCTGTAATCCTCACCTGTGGGCTGTAATACTTTGATCTCATTTGGTTGTTGGTTTAGTGTGTGGGTGCTGGGTGGGTGTCTGACTGGAGGATCTGGGTGTCCCTTCTGGCCCTAGACTCTGACTATGACAGCTGTATCTACACACACAGCAGGCCAGGCTGCTGTAGGACTTTACTTTGCCCTTGTTCCCATTGAGCAGTAACACCGTCCGGAGAGCATGTCATGCTTTCTCGCCATTTTCAATTATGGAATCAGTCAGTGAACTTCCTGTTTTGATTTGCCATGAAGGTGGCAATGGCTGGACACCTGGCTGTGACACATACAGTGGTGAGCCCAAAGCGCTCCATGGAGAACAGGGCAGTTATTGTGTTGGTTTGTATCTCTGTGAAAGTGGCCAGTCCCAGCCTTGCTAACATTAAATGATCTTCAGCACTGACTGCTTCAACAGCGCTTACTGTGCATGGGAAATTACTCCCAGACCCACTGCCACTAAGCTGGGGGAGGCCAGGGGCGCTGGAACAATTTGTATAGTGGGGATAGTGAGAGCCATTGAACCAAACTTTAAGCCCTGTATATGATAGAACCACTCCAAGCCAGGGGACGCGGCAGCATCCCAGCTCCCCCATTTCCAGCACCTATGGGGGCAGCTGCAGCTTGGGGACATGCCTGAAGGGTCTAACACCCATTGATGTCAGTGGCAACACACCGTTAATGGCTCTAGGCCTCAGATCAGGCTCAAAGAAGCAGATTTCCAAAAAAGCTCAGCTCCCATTTGGGCACCTAAATATGGGCCACCCAGCCACTCCTATTGAGACAGGTATGGACAGGCTTCCAACAGACCTCGACATCCAACCTGCTGAGCTCTGTGGAATACTTATTTTGTCCCTAAATGGGAGATAATTTCTTCGGGAAAAAAATGGCTTGTATTTCTTAATCACTATCATTATTTGTATTGCTGTCGTGCCTCCTGGAGGCTCCAGTCATGGATCAAGGTGCTGCACAAATACTGCTTTTCCCATTCCTCCTCCGTGCAATTTCTGTTGTAAAAGGATCACTCTGCCTCTATCAATAGCCTTTGCTTAAAAGAGCCATGTGGAGTTAGGTTTTCTCTTCGCCCTCTGTGTCCAGACTAGAAATGACAGTGGGAGTAGTGGCAGAGCGTTGTGTAATTAACTTCCTGTTTCTTGTTTGTTCTGAAATCTGTGAAGCTGGTGTTGCACATGCAGCTGTGACAAACGCTCAGGACTGTGCCCTCGCTCAGGGAGGTTTTTGTATTGGTCTGTATCACCGTGATAGGGATGTAGCCTTGTTGGCAGTAATAATCTCCAGCATCTTCAGCTTCAACCCTGCTGATTGTGAGAGTGAAATAAGTCCCAGACCCACTGCCTGTGAACCGGTCTGGGATCCCAGAGGGACGGGTGGTAGCACCATAGATAAGGAGCTTAGGAGCTTGTCCGGATTTCTGTTGGTACCAAGCTAGGTAACTGCTAACACTTTCACTGGCTCTGCATTTGATAGTGACTGTGTCTCGTGGAGAGACCGATAGAGATTCTGGAGTCTGGGTCAGCACTTTCTGCCCAGTGGAGTCTAGATGTAAAAAGAAAATACAGGAACTTGTGATATATTAATCAGAGTTATAGCTTTATATTGAATACATTTTTAACTTTATAGGTTATTAAATAGAAACAAATAAAATAACATATCTGTTGCAACAAATAGAATATATTTGAATTGTCTCTGCTGCTGCTGTTCATTAAAGCTGGGTCTATTGTTTTTTTCTTACCCTGAATCCAAAAAACTAGTATCCAGAGAAGCTGAGTGTGGGAGATCATTGTGAAAGTTCTCAGCCGCCAGTGCTGACCAGGGCACTATGCAGTGCAAACAGCTCCATTTATACGAGCTCAGCAGGGCAGGAAGGGAGTGTCGCTCATGTGTGAATTTGCAAAAGGAACAATTCATGTAAATTCAGCTCACTTAAATGGCAGAAGCAGGATTCTGAACTGTCTTGTTGGTCATGTGGTTTATAAGAGTGGAGTAGCAAGATGGTTGAGGGGACATCCTACATGCTGCAACTAGATATAAGTAGCCAAACCATCCACCCATATTCTAGAAGGTTTTTAGCAGCCTGGCCTGTCATCATTTTATCTTCTAGTTTTTCTCCTTCCCCATGAACATATAATTGAATAGCCCAGTATCTCCTTATGTAGGAAATTAAAGACCATCTGCCAAGTTGTTACCCTTGGAAAGTTATGGCTCTGCTCTCTAACAGAGTCTCAGAATACAGCAAACTAAATAACGTGATCTACAGCACTGCAACACCTGGGCTCAAACTGTTTCTGATTGGCATACTCAGCCCCAGGTA